CCTGAGGCCTGCACTCACCAGTCTCTCTGCAGGGGAGAGATGAAGCAGTCTGCCTCCATAAAGCCTCATAACTCTGGGAAACCCACAGGAAGTTCCAGTCAGCCCCGCAAAGTTCCTATAAGTCAGAATGGACCCAGCAGAAGTGGGCTTGGTATTTATTCGTGAGAACCACTAGAGGGTACTCTTACCCTTAGGTTTTTCTCAGTGCTGATTCAGGAATTAACCGCTGGATCTCTGGAGTTTAATACAAATGTACAGTGGGTAGGGGGCCAGTTGGCTGAAGATGCTAATGTAAGTGGCAAAGGTGATGAGCTCTCTGTCTTTCCCTCATGGATGCCCTGCCCAGGTTCTCCCACAGTATTGCCCATCCATCTGAATTATTCCCCTTGCCCTATTACCCTTGCAGTGCCTCCTGGTTCTGGTGCCCATTGATCTCAGGCCTCAACAAGACACAACAACACTCTTTTGCAGCTCTGGTAGCATAGTGGTTACGAATCGGGCTGTGAACTTCAAGGTCAGCAGTTCGAAACTACCATCTCTTCTGCAGGAGAAAGATGAGGCTTTCTACTCCCGTAAAGATTTATAGCCTTGGAAACCCTGTACAGGGTCGCTATGGGTCAGAACCGACTCCACTGGCACATAACCAACCAACCAACCAACCAACCAACCAACCAAGTCTTCCTTCACCCCTCTCAATTGCACATTTCATGAACTCCCATGGTGAATATGTGCTGCCCTAAAATATCGTACTACACATTCTTCAGATTCGCTTCCTTTCTGTCTTCCCTGTTTGGAGTGTTATCCAGCCCTATCTCAAAATGACTTCAATGTAGTAGGTTCTTCCAACTTCTGTGTCATCCCTGTCCTCCCTCCCACTGCTAGATTCACCTTGAGTCTTCAATACCTCCACTGCTCTCTAGAGCTCTGAGATCTCAGTCTGTGCTTGTTTTTTTTGCTCTTCAGTGAGTTAGTTGCTGGAGGTATAAATGGGGGTGTCCACCACTCCCTTTGTCATCTTGCTCCACTGTCTCAAAAGTTTTTCATTGACTAGTTTCAGAAGTAGAACACCAGGCCTTTCTTCCTTGTCTGTCTTAGTCTGGAAGCACTACTGAAACCTGCCCATCATGAATGACTGCAGTTATGTGACATACTGGTAACATAGTTTAAATCATCATAGTGACACACAAATCACTACAGTATGACAAACTGACAGACAGGTGATGGACCATCCTAATGTAAGATGTTAATAATAGAAGCAAGTATGTGTAGGATATATGAGATTCTCTGTGTTGTCTTCACAATTTCTCTGTAAATCTAAATATAGTCTAAAAGAAAAAGTTTAGTTTTTAAAACAAAATTTGTTTTAAAGCCTGTTCCTCCAACCCTGGTTGTAAGAAGACAGTTCGGATATTTTGCTGACAACACATCCTACCCTTTTCATTTTGGCAGAGGGTAGATCTGTCCAAATGGTACCAATCATATTCTCTGTACTTCCAGCGCTTGATGTCTATAGGCCATCACCTTGTCCTTCCAACAAATTATTTCTCTCTCTCTCCCTCTCTTTTATCTTTGAGTGATTTTGCTTGTTTGTTTATGCAATGAAGTGGTATAATCTTGTCTAAGATACCACAGGACTCAGATGGTATTCTTAGAACTTAATTGGAGGAGATAATGTATTTGTACATTCATAGGAATAATAAAATATTTTCAATTAGTCTTTTGCATGGTCAAGACAACAAAAATAGAACTTGAGGCAGAATTAATGTTGGCTTTGTCCCCTAAGCAGCTCTCTCTTCCTTCTTGTTTATCTTTGCTTTCTCTTGAAAAATGACCTACAGAGAATAACTTGTCTTCCAAAGTCCTTTGAGCTTATGGATACACAGATGAAAGCTGTGAAACTTAGAATTTCAGTTTTGAGGTTTATGTAGTGTTTCCTGAAATACAATTGCACCATAGTAACACACTATGAAAAAATTAGCAAAACTCTGTAGCTCAAAGATGGTGCAAAACCAAAACAGTAAACCTGTTGCTACAGAGCAGACTCCATCTTGTGGTGACCTATGGGTTACAGAGTCGAAGCGCTTCGTAAACTTTTCTTGGCTATACTCTTTACAGAAGCAGATTGATAGGCCTTTTGTTCCATTGTGCCATTGGGTAAATTTGAACCACTAACTTTTATGTTAGTAATATAGTACAAACCATTTGTACCACCCAGGGACCTACCAGTGAGGATGTTAAGTCTTCAGATTTATTTTAAGAAACTGTAGGTTCTACCTGAGTTGTTTTTTGTTTTTTTTTTTGTTTTTAATTTTGATACATGTAGCTTACTTCATTTATTCCATCTAGAAGAGAGGGAGTAAGAAATTGATAATTCCAGAGGAAATGAATAAATTTGCATACTCTTTCACCTGGATGTGTAATACTCAATGTATGCCTATATCAGTGTATCAAAATTAATTTTCACTATCATATTGCTACAATGAGTAGTCTTGTATCTGTTTTCTCTATCTGAGTCTTGGTGTGGCACTGTAGGATAAGCACTGGATTACCACAAAATCAGAGTTTCAAATCCACCAGCCATTTCGTGGACACCCTATAAGGGGTACTATGAGTTGGAACCAACTCAACAGCACTTAACAGCAGCAACAAAGGTTCTATTTGAACTGAAAGTGTGTCGAGATAATACAGTAAATTAGAAATGGAAAGAAGCAGATTTTAAACTAAAAAATTGGGGGACACTGATAAACAAGATTAGACCTGCTTGGACTGACTGCTAGAGGTAAGAGACAAATCGGAACGAAGGATGGCAAACCAATCAACCCATGTCGTAACACGCATCACAGCAGAACTATATACAAATATATACATTCTTCTGTCCAAATCATGGAAACAAATAAAAGAGATATATCGAATATCAACAAGTAAAGCTGAACAACAGATAAGGAGAATAAGGGATAAGACATGATGTCATCAAACAGAATAACGGGCTCTTGCCCTGCCCCCCAAGATTTATAGAACCCCACCCTGGTCTTTCTTTTGCCACTTATCTCCTTATAAGTGAGATTTAGGGGTCAAGAGGTCCTACTCATGCTAAGCCCATGTACCCTTTATCCTAGACTACCTTCCAGGTACTTGGGATCATGGAATCAAAAGGAGACCAGAACTTAATTTCAGGGCCACCTACCCAAGGTCAGCTACACACCTGGGCATGCGTGTCCCCAGATCCAAGGTGTGACAGTCTTGGAAGGGATGTGTCCAGAACTTAGTTATGAGGGTTTTCCTTATTATGTAAATCTCCTCATGGTGCAAAGGTGAAGATTAGAAAAAAACAAACAGAAGGGTCTTTTGGGAGGACCTCCAATTATACTCTTGTTCTTTCTGGTATCCACAAAAGTTAGGGGTAGGTCTGCTCCCAGATGCCTATCCAAAGGAAAGTCGAAGTGAATACATAGGTAATGGTCAAAAATAGATTTCTATTGTGAGGGAGTATATGAAAAAGGAAAGAAACACTGTGAATTCATAGAAAGATTTACCATTGATTACGGTGAGATTAGGGAAGTTTAGGGTGGGGAAGCAGTCCAGAGATGGGTGGAGAAGGTTGGTGGCAATGTGGTGCTAACTTGCAGTTTCCAGCTTGTAAGGGAAACTGGGGTTAAGATGCCCTCCTGTAGGAATCCATGTCATCCAAACCTTATGCATGGGGAAGTGGGGACAGCTGATATGCAAAAATTAGTCTGTGGGCTATACAAATAAAACACCAAAAACACTATTGCTGTTGAGTAGATTCCAGTTTATGGCAATTTCATGTGTGTCAGTAGGACTGTGCTTTACAGGGTTTTCAGTGGCTGAGTTTTCAGAACTAGATTGCCAGACTTTTCTTCTAAGGCACCTCCGGATGGACTCAAACCTCCAATTTGTGGTTAGCAGCCAAGTCCTGTTAACTCTGTGTACCACCAGGGGTTCCAAGTAGTCCAGTAAATTATGACTGACCTTTTGGGAACTCCCTCTGCATTCCAATCCCCAAACCAGACTCATCAAGGTGAATGAAAACATGCAAGAGAGGGAACAGCCCATGCCTTAAGGTGTGTTCTTCAGCTCAATGAATTTTTTCCTTTCCATTCTATTCTGCAGATCTACCCGCCTCTAATCCTTTTCCCTTCCCTGTGTGACCTTTCTTAAAGAATATAACTCTCCGTCCAACTGGATTTTAAAAACAAAACAAAACAAACACACCCAAAACCCATTTTCACAACTCTGAGAATTAAGATAGTAAGTAGTAGACAACAATTTTTGTCTTCTCTAGTCTCTGAAACTGGCCATTCACTAATACGCTTTGCCCTGGGTGTTTCTGGATAGGCCGTGTGTGTTAACTGAATGTGGAAAAATTAATGGCTAAAAACAACATATGAACATTTTCTTCTAAGGCGAACTTGAGTAGAGAACAATGCTGAGCAATGGTTCCAAGCCTTGTCCACAAACTCAGTTCTGCCACTTAGCAGGAACATTCCTTCCCCCTCCCTCCTTTCTTTTCATTATTGCTGAAACAAGTGTTATCCGTTATGATGTTGACATAAGAAAAGGCGAAGTGCTAATAACTGAATCCAAACCAGAGCTGCAGTGTAACAGACGGCTCCGTGGTGTGCTTGGTTTGTTTCCTTGGATTAGCAGGCTTAGCTTTCACTTCCCCGGAAGGGCCACACTGGTCTTACTGCCAGAAGTCTGTGATGTCCGTTGTTCCCCTTTTCTCCCCATCTCACTGGACTGGGACCTCCCATCTCCTCCACTCTTTGGTGAGTCAGTTTACATTTCTCTCAGTTGCCTGAATATTCTGTGGGTTCTGCGCAGGGTCGTCAGGTGTGTTCTCACACTCCCTGTGAACTCTTGGCTGCAGCTGCAGTTAAAACTTTTCTAACCACAGTCAGATGGCCTTGAGGCTTTTGAAGACAAAACTCCGAGGGAGTGAGGAACGCGGCTCCCGCTGGCCACCTGGCTGCAAGCAGCTCCGGAGTCGCACGCAGCAGGCGCGCCCTGCCCAGCGCCCCCTCGCTTCCCATCTCCGCCAGCGCGGCCAAATGGACTCACAGCGCCCCCATGGGGTATGACGCTTCGTGCCTCTGGTAGCGTATGGGCGCTCCCACTTCGGACAACCATGACATCTCAGTTGGGCACGCCCCGGGGCGGTGCAGGGGCGGCGCAGATAGCCGCTCCTCTGAGCCGGACTCTGGGCTCTGGAGGACGCGGGTCTGCGCAGGAGCCCCGGGCGCCGTCCGGATGAGGCTGCCCAGAGAACTCCCGCGACGAGGCGGGAAACTTGGGACCAAGTCTGCCCTCGGTGAGTTTGAAGGGCCGGAAGGGGGCTCTGGGTTTCAGCCCCTCCCTTTTTTCCTTTGGGGTTTAGAGCACTCAGGCTCTCAAACCCTCAGTCTCTCAGGTATAGGCCTGACAGGAGGGTGCATCTCTCCTCCTAGAACACCATCATGGGTAATGTGTCCAATGATTCCCCGGCCGAGGACTGCAAGACTCGACAGTGGCTACCCCTGGGCGAAAGCCCAGCCATTAGCTCTGTGATGTTCTCTGCTGGGGTACTGGGGAACCTCATCGCGCTGGCTCTGCTGGTGCGCCGCTGGCGCGGGGATCCGGGACGCAGCGCCAGCCTCGGGAATCCCATCTCCTTGTTCCACGTGCTGGTGACCGAGCTGGTGTTCACCGACCTGCTCGGGACCTGCTTCATCAGTCCCATGGTGTTGGCATCATACGCAAGGAACCAGACCCTGGTGGCGCTGGCACACGAGAACCGCGCGTGTAATTACTTCGCCTTTGCCATGACCTTCTTCAGCCTGGCCACGATGCTCATGCTCTTCGCCATGGCCCTGGAGCGCTACCTCTCCATCGGGCACCCCTACTTCTACCAACGCCACGTTACGCGCCACAGGGGCCTGGCAGTGCTGCCTGCCATCTACGCCATTTCGCTGCTCTTTTGCTCCTTGCCACTTTTCGGCTACGTCCAGTACGCCCAGTACTGTCCCGGGACGTGGTGCTTCATCCACCACGAGCAGACCGCGTACCTGCAGTTCTACGCCACCCTGCTCCTGCTCCTCATCGTCGCTGTGCTCGTCTGTAACTTCAGTGTCTTTCACAATCTTGTCCGCATGTACCGAAGGGGCAGGAGAAGCCGCTGTGCACCCACACTGGGCAGCGGCCGGAGCGGCCCCGGGACCCGCAGGAGAGGGGCAAAGGTGTCCATGGCAGAGGAGACGGACCACCTCATCCTTCTGGCCATTATGACCATCACCTTCGCCATTTGCTCCTTGCCTTTCACAGTAAGTCACTCTGGTTCCATGGGCCAGCTCAGCACAGCCTTCTGACACCTTCCCTTCTGACCCCCACTCTTTCTAGCACCGCCATACAGACTTCTAAAACTTGTAAAAAAGAAAACAAAGTTCACTACCATCGAGTTGATTCCGACTCTCAGACCCTGGATAGGGCTTACGATGCTGTGAATCTTTACGGGAGCAGAAAGTCTTATCTTTCTCCCGCAGAGTGGTGTATCCTACAGAGCCACCCGGGCTCCTTGACATTTGTAAAAGGATGTCCTCATTTGTAAAGCTTTAGTAGCCTTCCTCTCTCTCACTTCTTAACTTTACCCCACTTCCTTCCTTCCCTAAGGGTGTTTTGCTGTAAGGCAGTCCCAGTGAAAGGGAGCCTTTGCCCTGTACAGCCTGCCACCGTAGAGTCAAAAAGCCTGTGTACAGCGTCTTTGTCCCACTGTTGGCTAGCCTGGCTAGTACCTGAGGAGGAATCCGACCCATTCACCATTGCTTGGTTGTGTTTCTTATACCTGAGCTCTGGTAACATAGTGGTTACGAATCGGGCTGCGAACCAAAAGGTCAGCATTTCAAAACTACCAGCTGTTCCGCGGGAGAAAGATGAGGCTTTCTGCTCCCATAAGGATTTACAGCCTTGGAAACCTTGTACAGGGTCGCTATGAGTCGGAACTGACTCCACAGCACGTAACAACAACCCTGAGCTGCAATTAACCTTCCTGTACCTTCCACCCACCAGTACTAGTTCTTTATGTTTTCCTTCTGTTTCTTCCAGAGCAAATAGCTTTCCAATTGCAGTTGGGAAGGGTCTGGTGTGAGAAGGGTCCCTTTTGCAGTTTAGGAAATTCATTATTGAAGAATCTAAAAGGAAACAAATGCCTAATCTACAGTTTTCCCTATTTATATTTTGAATATGTGCCTCTTCGAAGCCATTAAAATTCACAATATGTCCATAGTAATAATTGGAGGAAAAGGGGCTTGTTTGGAGGAATCCCTTCCTAAGCTTTGAGAGCCCTCCAGACGAGGCATTTGTCCCCTTTCACAAAAGGTCATCTTGATGTCACTTTCAGAAATAGATACAGGTGTTCTTTAGCTTACAGTCTTGTACTTTGTGATCAGGATGTCACACCCAGGAATGGCTGGCTGGTTCTTGTCAGGGATGGAAGAAGTAGGCTTGTCCAGGATTTACCATGATTGAGCAGGACAAAAAGTTACCTAGGCAACAGAAGGATGGAACCCAAAGTTCTGGATTGGGTGCTGCCCTGGTTGGGGGCAAATTCAGAAGTTTGTTCTTGTTCTAGGTCATAACTTGGGAGAAAGACGAGACTGTCTTCTCCCATTAAGATTTACAGTCTCAGAAAATATATAGGAGGGTCACCATGAATCAGAACTGATGGGTGGCAGTGGGTTTCGTTTTTTGACTCCATTAGTATAGCCTGGTGTGGCGCTGTGGGTTAATGCACTAGACTGCAAGGTCGACTTGAACCACAAGGCCGGCAGTTCAAGCTCACCAACAGCTCCTTGGCAACCCCATACAGGGTCACTATGGGTCGGAACAGACTCGAGGGCACTTAACAACCGCAACAATAGATCCTGAGATGTATCTGGGCAATATAGAACTGAGGCTGGGAGTTTTGTCTGTCTACTTCCTTATCTTCAGAAGAACAAGATTGACCTTTCAGGGAGTCAGCAGTAAGCAGTGACTCCCACCTACTACAACCTTAGGAAGAAGAAGAAATGTAAGGTGCCTAGAGAAGTAACTTTATCCAGCCTCTGGCCTCCCATGTTGCTTTAGGTTATTTAATTGACATCATAAAGGACAGGGAAGGAACACAGGATCGTAAAAACCTTTATATGATACTCCGCCCTCCTCCCTGTAACACCACCATCAAGTAAAATGAAGGCCATTTCTTAGCTAAGTTCTATTCTCCGTGGTCGCACTGTTCTCACACTTCTCCTCTATCTTCTGTCAGGGCATGAGCTTGTCTGAATCAGTGCATTGTATTTTGCAGAGAACGAGATAAGGTATATAAAAGGTGGTGGTAGTGATGCACTGTGGAATCAGTTCAGACTCATAGTGACCCTGTACAGGGTTTCCAAGACTATAAATCTTTATGGGAGCAGAAAGCCTCATCTTTCTTCCACAGAATGGCTAATGGTGTTGAACTGCTCACCTTTAGGTTAGCAGCCTGACTTGTAGCCACTACGCTACCAGAGCTCCTTCTTAGAAAAAGAACTGTAAGTATGGGAGACTGCATCTCTCATTCTGCCTAGAACAGGGGAGCTTGTGAAGCAGAGATAGCTGCGCATCATAACTTCTACTCCTGTGCTTTACTGGTGGTGGTGGTGGTGGTGGTGGTGTGCTGTGGAGTTGGTTCCAACTCATAGCAACACTATGTAGGGCTTTTGAGGCTATAAATCTTTATGGGAGCAGTAAGCCTCATCTGTCTCCCACAGAGAGACTGGTCAGTTTGAACTATGGACCTTGTGGTTAGCAGTCCACCTCATAATCCACTATGCTCCCAGGGCTCCTTGTTTTATTGGTGGTGGTGATGATAGTGTGCTCTGAATTCAGTTCCGACTCATAGTGACCCTGAATCTAGTTTTCAAAGCTATACATTTTTACAGGCCTAGAAAGCCTCGTCTTTCTCCCACAGAATGGCTGGTAGTTTCAAACTCCTCTCTGCAGTTAGTAGCCCATCTCATAACCACTATGCTACCAGAGCTCCTTGTTTTTCTTTTTTACTATGGGTTAAATCAGGTTCCCTGGGTGGTACAAATAGTTAAGTGTTTGACTACTAGAGGAAAAGTTGGCAGGCTTAGAGGTCCTCCAGAAGGCAGGCTTAGCGATCTGCTTCCGAAAGGTTAGAACCTTGAAAATCCTATGAAGCAGTTCTACTCCGCACACGTGGTCCCTCCATGAGTCTGAATAGACTTGATAGCGACTAATAGCAACACTAACATGGACTAACTCAGCGTTTGGGGCTTAAGATTGTGACTAGGATGCATGAATCTATGAAAGAAAACATTTCAATCTCTACTAAACAACTTAGAATTCAACTTGGAGGTTATAAACCATTTCCATATTGGGGATACTGGTCTTGGACACACTGAGAATTAGATTGTTCTTGCAGTCTTATCTGTTATTTGTGAGTTTGTATATGAAAATATCCCCTACCCTAGCTTCTTAGATCGCATGGGAAGGGACTCAGATGTGACAATGTACTTGTGAAAAGGATTTTAATTCCCTTTCTTAAGTCCTTTAGAGAAGGAGAGCAGGGGCATAAAGGTCTACCTTTTGATCATGATAGACCCACTACATAAACTCCAAAAAATAAACCAACTACAGTCGAGTCAATTCCTGCTCATGCTAACCTATAGGATTGAGTAGAGCTGCTCCCTAGAGCTTCTGAAGGTTGTAAATCTTTAAGGAAGCAGACTGCTTCATCTTTCTTCTGAAGAGCAACTAATGGGTTCAAACCACATTGTGGTTACCAACCCAATGCTTAATCTACCATGCCAACAAAGTTTCGTATTTTAATAAAGATAATCATTTTCAACAGGCTCATCTGCTTTCACATAAATTTGCCTTTTATAATGAGAATTTCATCATTGCTCTGTGTTCTTTTCAAGTCTGCTTATATATACGTTGTTGGTTTTTTCCTTTGATCCTAGGCTTTTGACAATTCCAGAGTAGTCAAATGGAAGGAACTTAGAACTAGAAGTCTGATTAGAATGGGCAGAAGTATAGAGGATTTGCTTTGAAGCTTTGTTTTAATTTGATTGCCTAGTTATGGCTTAAGGATCCCTTGGAAGCACAGTGGTTAAGTAGTTGCCTGCTAACCAAAAGGTCAGCAATTTGAACCCACCAGCCACTCCATGGGAGGAAAGACCTAGTCATCTGCCCTCATAAAAGAGTGCATGCTAGGAAACCCTATAGGGCTATTCTACCTATAGGGTCATTATGAGTTGAAATCTATTCAACAGCATTCAACAAAAACAATATTTCTGGATTAGAGGAGCCTAATGAAGATTATGAGGGGACTTTAGCTCCCTCATAACCATTCCTTGGTATTGAACCATTCCTTGGTATTGAAATCACCAAATAGCAACCATTTGCTTCTGCATATATGTAAGGCAAAGATTCTCAGACAACGATCAGGAGAAAAGTAATTAAGCTAAATTCTGGCCTTATGGCTAACAAGATACCACATCCAGATGAACTATGGATAATCACTAGACACAAAACAGAAAACTGAGCTGTATCTTCAGTCATCTCAACAAGGAAATTTACATGGACTATTGACTAATTTTACTTTGCTAATACATTATTAGCAATAATTTTCTTGCATTTCCATGGCACTGTAAACCTTATGAAGTGTTAAACAGTGCTCCTATTGAAGCTATTTCTTGGAGGGGTTAGCCAACAGTTTAAAATTTAGAGCTACTATTTGGTTTTTATATTCTGTTACTTTGAAAAGCTTGGCCCCAGGAAGGGTGCTTTCTCCCCCAAGTCCCTTTAATTCAGCTTGACCCACACTACAGATATGGTCAGAAGTGACCTACATCAATCTCCTCCATCCTCCATCAGGCAGGCATCATTTTCACATGTCCTAATTGGGGTGACTCGGAAACCCTGTACAGGGTCGCTATGGGTCAGAACCGACTCAACGGCACTTAACAACAACAACAATTGGGGTGACAGAACTGTTAGATTGAAGCGAAGACTTGTGGTTGCCTTCAAAACTGCTGTCCCTCTAACAAAGCACAGTATGAGCCAGCAATGTGACCCAAATATGGAATTTAAGTTAAGAAACCACTGAAATTTAATTTTAATCATATGTCCAAAATGTCAATTCAAAATGTATTCAATGTTACATAACTATTAATGAAATATTCCAATTAATTTTGTTCCTTAAGTCCCAGGGAATACTAGCATCCTACCCTATTTCTTTCTACCTTATTCCTTCCTCAGGTTAACAAAGCTGTACCCAGTG